ATGTTATATCATATATTACCTATCCTTATAATGCATTTGATCCTTGTGAAAAACCTGTTCAATGCGAAGCACGAGTATTAAGTGAGCTCAATTTTGATCACAATTCGGATGATTTCATACCAACTGCTGTTCATCCTTATCACAAATCCACTTCCAATGTATACTCTAATCAATGTGAGAAATATGTTTTAAATGAAGCCACATTATTCACAACTTGGGGATATAAAGATCCAACATTATTTCGTGGGGGAGGATAGTGTTGAAAAATCTATGGTTCGAATTCTATATATTAATGATTTCATTACAAAACCGACATGCTGGTTGTATACAATTCCAGGTGAGTCTCTTCCGATTTCGTTTGTTAATTCCAATACTAATGAGCACTTTCTAGATACTACAAAGTTTTTATATTATACGATGTCGGACAGACTCAGGATGAACCTAACAAGAAGACGTACAACCGATTACAAACACTTCTACTTCTATTTAAGCTGAGGCGGATGTGGTGTTTGAATTAACTAATGATTCTTTTGTACTTGTTGAATGCTTGATTTCGAATTCCAAATACAATACATTCGTTTGTGCCTGTGTCTTCTTAATTGAATTGCGTTAATCCTGGAATTCCTAGTTCATAAGACAATTAGTATATCATAGTTATGTAAGCTCATTAAGTGGATGTTTAGCTTATTTCTTGGGATGTATTTCGAAATTTACACTTAAAAGCTACTGCACCCCACATCTCTTGGAATACACCGAAGTGTCCAAGAAACTCTCCAGCATTATGGGGAGAAACTCATGCTTCACTATTGATAGAGGACGATTATGGTAAACTTTAAGTAATGTTAAACTACTTCAGCAATGTATCTAGCGTGAAAACACTCTTCCCGTCAGTCCCCCGCACAAACTGGACAACGTGACCATTAAACAACTCGATTCCTTTGATCGATTGATTGGGCGAATCCACGAGACCCGACGAACTGCATCCCAGGTTAGTAGAAGAACTAGCTAACTTCGTTGCTAACCCCTCAAGCATATCCGTAACATAGAGCCGATTAACAAAAGACTGAAAGAACAGCACAGCAAACCCTGTCCTAAAAACAGGTGTGAGACATAAACCTGAGAAATACAGACCCGTTAGCAAAACTGGTTGTTAAAATTTTAGAAGAGATTATTTGGAAGGAGCTGTTTAAGTATCTCGATGACAACCGGATTCTTTCGAAAATGCAGCATAACTTTAGAATAGGTTATTCCTGTCTCACTAAACTATTAGTGGTTCGTGAAAGATGGTGCGCTCTTAAAGACCAAAAGCTACCTATAGACGTAGCCCACATTGAGTTTGGCAAAGCTTTTGACAAAGTTCCTTACAACCGGCTGTTAAGAAATGTCGAGGTTGGGCGCCAACGAAGAGTACGGGTGAACTCTGAGTTGGAAAACTGTGCTTAGCGGAGGGCTTCAGGATACAGTTTTGGCGTTAATGTTATTCGTCCCGCATGCAAATGACATTTCTCGTCTCCAGTCATCATCGGTCTTGCCGTATGCTGACACTGCCAAAATATAGAGAGCGACGAGATGTAAAGCTTAGAAATTCAAAATGACCTGGAAAAATTATCTGAATGGTCACAAACCTGGCACTTGCCGATAAATACTTCTAAGTGCATTGTGATGCACATTAGTTATTAAGGTGAAGATAAATACACCACGAATAACACTGAGCTACCTGTTGTTTAGATAGACAAGGAGTTATAAGTAATCGTTAGTCAAGACTAAAAATTATTACACACTGTTGTGTAACAGCCTCCAAAGGTTTTAGAACTCTATGGTTAATACGTAGAGCCTTTAGTCATGTCGACACTAAAACTTTTTTGACTTTCGATACAGTAGTCGTGAATCCTAAACTTACGTTCCGCATACAAGCGGTTAGCCCCTGTTTAAAAAAAGACATTGAGTTTTCGGAAAATGTTAAGCGAAGAGCAACTAATCTAGATCAACCGAGAGATCATAATTGCCAGGCCATCAAACCTTATATCCATTTAAACTGAAACTTCCATGAACACTTGAAACCATTGGACCACCCAACCTTGTGGTAAGGGGCTATATACAAAGATGACGGTACCAGCAGAAAATGTGAGGGATGTACTGTCTGTTAGAGGTAAGTTCTAGAGGTTTTTCTACCTGCCATTAATAATCAGATGAAGACAGTTGTTATTTCGAGTTATATTTTGATGTTGCACTGTTGAAACATTTGCTTATTGCTTGATGCTATCTCTCTTATTTAAAAGTGACGTTAATGTTTAGTTATAATTTGTTTTGACCTTAAGACTGTCTGTCGGTATGAAATTCACTTTTCTCTAATAAGAATTTATTTTTCGCACCAAAATCTCGAAATACAATGGGACATTTTAAGTAGTGAAATTTTCATCTTCTGAGGTTTTTTTCGGAGAGACTGATTTACTGACGAAGCAGTGAGATTTAAGGTAGCAGATCTTGGATTTCGGCACACAGTTCGGTCACTCATTTGAATAAATATCGTTTTTTAACATGTCAGTTCGTGATGAAAACATTAAATTTAGTCCTTATCCCTTACGTTCAACTGGAAAGCCTGACTTTAATTCCTTACACGAATATACAACCCTCATATGACCGTAGTAAGTAAGAGAGCAGTTTAATACCATTTTACCGTTGCTCAAAGGTCATCCATATATTATAGTCATACCAGATATTCATATTCCTTCAAAGTTAATGCAAAGAAATCCCTATGCATCTAATTTTAACAGGATTTTAAACTCTTTCAATAGTGCATGCTAATATGTTGATAACTATGTACAGTATGCTTCTTAAGGGTCTGTTTGGGCAACCAATAAGTTAAGGATTATATAGGCGTCATCAACAAGTCAGTTTCCCGATCACTGCCAATCACTTATAATATAGGATCTGACATGAAGTGTATTTCTCAGAGATCCCATGCCATATCAGAATGGTAAGATTGAATTAATAACGTGAGTATCAAAACGTTGAGCAGTAACAATGAGTGAGAAAGTTTACATATTGACGAACACGATTCGAAAAGAAGAAATGCGTTAAAAGAAGGAATAAATACATATCCACCATGGCTAGTTCTGGGTCTTATTAGTCAATGCTACTGTCCATTAAACGCAGTTATCTTACGGATTTTAACCATCTAGTCTGTACCTACCAACAAAACTCAAGTCAACGATCTTATAGACTAGTTCCATGTTTTCAATTGAACGTACTGTCTTTTCCAATTGATGCTATATCTTTGGTTTACTTTGTTGGCTATTATGACAAACCAACGTAGCAAGAGTGTATATAACATGTCCATACCCTGATTAAAGCATAAATAGGTCGTTTACTAACTAGATAACTAAATACGTAGTTTTCAGCTTTATTTTCTTTTGTGATACTATCCGACTGCCTAAACCATAATATTTGAAATGAAGTCCTATCCTGGGGCTCGACTGTTAGAATAAAAGAGCTTTAACCACCAGTTCAATGCTACATTTTATTTGAAAGACAGATGGACGCCTTGGCTCATAGGTGGCTTGGGTTCGCAAAATCAAAAGCAGGCTTTTGTATGCGTACTGAAATTTCGTAAGCCACCTGCTCGCCAGTTCTGATAAGACTTCTGAGTTAGTTGAAGTGGTGAATAAATTCAGCTTTTGTACTGTTTTAGAAATGTGACCATAGCTATTACGTTTACAGTAGTTGCGATTGCTCATTTTGCATTTTGATTCAGCTAGATCGAGTGAAACATATTTTCTTTGTGATTTTCTATGCCATACAAATTGGTTGGAAATTTTCTGAAACAAAACCATTAAGTTTAAGGCCAGAGAGTGGAGTTGTACTGCCAAATGCTAGATTGCGGTGGCATTCAAATGTTTTCTACATGCAACTAAGATTTCTTTCCATCTCGAAAAGCCTGAATAAATAGTCCATCCTTCCTTACTTGTTTCCACCTAAGCGTTGAGGTAACCATCCTGGTTCACGTTTGATTTTCTGGCTACTCATTGTGATGTTTTATATGTAAATATGGAATAAAGTTTAAAGATAGTCGATTAAATGGGACTTTAAGAACTTGGAAGAGTAGGGTTATAGACAATTGTTTGTCCATAATTTCTGCCTACACCTGTGGCATCTGGTACCTGGATAGCATTTACAACTCACTAATTTTTGTCGTGAAGGCGTTTGTGTTTTCGTTTAGTATGCGTTTGTGTTAGATCGCACAATCCAATGTCGAGTTCAAATTCATAACGGTGCTTACTCACTAGTTTCACCACTGAGAGACATTGGTAATTAAATGCATGTAGTCCTCATGTGGCTTACATCTTTCGTGACTGTACAACAACTAAACACTGTGATGCTAGTGGACCCTACTTTAGTTGTTTTTAGGTACCTTGAGTGCTTCTCGGTTAACATATTTCCTCAGAAAGCAAGCTGTATTTTAGTATGTGCGTTAATTTTTGTCGTTTGTTAATCTTTCATAGTTGCTAAAACTTTTAAGATAAGTGGTTGTCGTGAATGTCTAGTTTGAATGTATGTGAAGTAAAAGAAAATTTAATCTGTGTTGATAAAAATCCCATAATAAGGATTCTCACTGGTGACACTAACTTCAATGAATATGTCATCAGCACTCATTTTCAATTCACGTATATTATTTTCGGTCTTGATATGATGGATTTTCATGTTCTAAATGTTCACTACGCCAGTATGCAATGCTGCATCGTGAGTCGGGTTAGACTTCGGTTAATGCGCTTCATAGAAATGGGCTGATTATCCTCCTATCTGTTCATTATCATAGTCTCTTATATATTTTCAGAATACCTTATAAAAATTATCAGATTCAAATAAACGAATATGCGTTTCAAATTACATCATATACTGGAAATTCTGAATCTCGTCAGTGTTAAATTCATGCTCACGCACACCCAACCTAAGAAATATCAATGTCTTGCTAATTTAGGTTAGCTAAATCACTTATTAAACAGCAAAAATATCTTGTAATATGTAATAGTCAGATAAACGTAAAACAGAATAAGTGTTTATATATCTCTTTTTTGACTAAAAAATGTTTCACGAAAAAGAAAATACATGAGAAACTACATCATAATCATTCTACTTTTTTGTTTCATTAACTAACTAATAGTGCTATATTCATTGTTGTTGTTCCCATTGTTGTCTTTCTGTTTGCTTCAACTAATTGTAATTTATGATATGCGCTGCAGGTTTGTATCCAGTGATGATACACTGGTATCAGCAGGATGATGATAATGTCTTGGAGGATTTTTAGTTGACTGTATACTAACATGTTTTGATTCCTTTTCAATGCCAATTGATGGTAGATACTTGTCACTAGATGATGGCTTTTTGTTGAAAGTATATTACTACTATGATGGACGAGCATTCGAGAATTATTAGTACCCTTTTTGGTTATTTATATTAGAGTCTGTTAGTGTTCTGTAGAATGACTCCTTTCCTCCTGTTGTTGTTTTCTGAGACCTGTAGAATCTGTAAGCCGATTGATTCTTTTATCACGTAGCTGTTGTGCTATGAATTCCGATGATCTCTTTTTGTTATCATCCAGCAGTGAGTTGCTGTTGTTGTTAGCAAATGAATCTAAATTTAATTCACCGTCTTCTGATTTAAGTTGTCCACTGTACAGATGCTTAATTTTGTGCTGTCTTGCATTCTCATCATTTTCACAATCTAATTCAATTGTATTTAATGTAAGGATGTTGAAATGATGATTCTTTGAATTAGCTAGTGTTGTAACAGTACTTGGGTGCATTTTCACCATAGTTTCGTCGGTTACCATTGCTTTTGGTACTGGTGACTGTTCCACACAATAACTATCATTACTAATTGTCTTTTCTGATTGTATAATTGAATTTTTGTCGTTTATAGATAGATTTCTAGTCGCAATAGCTGGTGTCACTGCAATCGCTGCTGCAGCTACGGCAGCAACAGATGCAGCACCGAATTCATGTTGTTTTCCGCCTATCAGAGTAGCCATACAGTTTCTCTCTTCTTCACGTTGCTTTCTTCGATTTTGTACGTAACTTTTTAACCATTTCTACGTTTAAAATAGGATAAGAGAAAAAGCAAATGGTTTATTGAGAATGTTGACTTCAAAAAATAAGTTCTAATGATACATGTTATCTTAAATAATGTGGATGCCTTTATCCTCTTTGAAGTTCTAGAACAGTAGCATTTTATTCTTTAGAGTTTTTCAGTCCAGTATCTTTAACTGTATGGGAGTTTATGGGAAGTGTCATGTAAAACTGTAACAATGAATAGTTTGCATAATATATCATAGACGCTTTTCTGGTTGACTCAAAATCATGTATAATTTGAAATATGATCCAATGGCAGGTGTTTTGTAACTCTATTCCCTACCTAAAATAAAAGCGAAAAACGCATCGTATATCTGATAATCATTAACTCTGTCAGATTTTTCACATTTATTCCTGCATAACTTCACATCGCTATCATATACGCCACATTTATTAATATACACTGAGTACCCCGTTTTAATTTTAATCAGTTTGAATAAATAAGCAGATTATCAACGGTGAGGTAAAATAATCTCATTGGACATTAAACTTTCGAAAATCTGTGTCCAGATCTAACTCAAAACACTCAGTTCGCAATTTAATGCCTTATCTGATAACTGTATCACTCTTGATATGGGCGAAATCCTCTTATCATAATTTGTCATTGGAGTTTTGGTAATCCGTCTCGGGGTTAGTCATTAGTGATTAAACTATCACGAATTGTTTCACAACAAGACGAGGCTGATGTTAAGTATCCCCATTCAGTTTCTATAGTTGCTCCAATGGTGTCGATCTATGATAAAACTAGCTTCAAAATAAACAACCTTTACAACTACCTCCCCTCGAGTAAAATAACTATAATAACCACTCTAATTCATCTAATGATAAAGCTCTAAATAAAACTTACTTCTACTATTGTAAGTACTGCATGATAAGCTAATGGGATAGGTGTAAATAAAACTGTCCACAATGCTGCTACAGCCGCTAAATCACCTTCTGGTGCATGTACACATGTTCTTAGCAAAGGTATACACAAAAGACCATTAAACACCGAAGCTGCCGTAGATAATGTTCGAGATCTTGCACAACCTTGATTAGTTATTAATCCTACGAGCCAACCAATTGCAAATCCGCATATATTAAGCGATAGTAAGGCAAAAATTAAATTTTGAGTAACTTCATTAAAAGCATAATGATTAATATATACACCTAAAGTCACAAGCAGTATTCCAGATAATAAAAGTAGTGGTCTGGTTATCCATGTTAGAATTGCACGTGCTAAACTTGGTTGACATCCTCTCATTAAAGTTCCTAGAATTTGTGCTGAAGCTATAAGCATTAGCCAGCCAAATGTTTTCCCAATATTAATTGGACGATTAAACCAATACCAGCCAACTGTTATAGCCCAAAGTGGCATAACCACTAAAAGAGAAAATGTAAAAAAAGAGAGTATTATTCATTGAATAGTCATGAAATAAGAAATATAAATTTATTGACTATATATGCACAAAACTTGATTTGTTAAGAAAAAGTTGAAATTGAAGACCTAGTAAAGTTGCTTCCAGAAAAGTTTTTCATTAGGAAAGAAACGGAGTTAAAAGTTAGATAATCAGAACTAAAGAACATTAAAAACCATTTCTTCTTGAAACTGTGTTTTCTATTATTTAGGATGTATATATTTGAGTTCGTTTTGCTTATTGTACGTTTTATAGAGTTTATCCAGTATCCAATGTCGATTATTTGGTATAAATCACTTCCTTATGCCTTTCTTATCATGCCTGTATTGTTATATAAAATATAATGTCTTTTAATGTGATGAAATACCTACAGATACGTTTATATTCACTAACCTTTTACCCTAAAGGTTGGATTTAATTTTTTTGAAAACGTACTTTTGCATACTTTGTCTACTTTTAAGTAGTATAAAGTGTAGTAGAAAAAAATTTGTAATTATTACTGAAAATTGCATCATGGGCCAGAGGTGACACAAACTTTTTTTTATCAGTTATCTTCATAGAAAGCGGTAGTATTTCATATGGGTCTCACAAAAGATTCCAAAATATTCCTAATTAATATATCGGGATGGGTCACTTACTAATGTAACTAACAGTTAATTGTACGTTAACTGTCACTTTATTAATGGGATAAGTAAAGTATACATGGTTCTCCACTAGGGAATTATAATCGAATATCACTTGAATTGTGTCAATCTGCAGTTTCTACCTTATATTCCTGTCTGTTAGATGATACTAGAACACTGACTGATGTGAAAACTCTGGTCCACAAAGTTGACCCTAGAAAATAAACTTTTTGTTCTCACAATTTTTCAGATTGTGAAACGTATCCTCTTTCGAAAAAAAGTCATAAGCTGAAATAAATTTACCACCTACCAAAATGATGTTTCGCAATGTGGAATAATATCAATTACAATAATTTCACTTTGTCCATTATTCATTTTTTGATATCTCAAAAAATAATTCATACTGTCTTGTGTTCGTGAATTGTTTGCAGGAGGTACTTTTACAATTTGATGTTCGGCACATCGAATAAGTATTCATTGGTATGAAATAACTTCATTTGTGAGACTACTACAAGGGTTATACTCATATATCTTAATATTATAATGCTTTTCAATAATAATAATAACGATAGTGGTATTAATAATAATTTAACTTTTACTAAGTAAATGTTTACGTATTTGATTTGAATGCACGCCCTTGTGATGAGGGATAGTGTTATTATCTGTCTGCTCAATATGAATTTGGTCAAACATAATTTCCGTTGACAAGATCTATTGACACCTAGTGATTTAACCATTAAGCTAAAACTTCTCTTATGGTTAATTCTATAGACTATACATTTAGGACACTCACTATTAATCTCTATTGTATAATATCCATATGTATTGTCTGAAATTGACGTTCATTATTTAACCGAATTATATTCGTTCTATAGGAAAATGAAATAGCTTACGTATTTACATTTATTTTATCTAATAAAGATTGACAAATCACTGTGTATAGTTTAATCAATTCAGTCAGTCAGTCAGCTACAACGTAGGACCAGGCACATATATGAATTCGTCCAAGTTGTCATACCTCATTAGCACAACAAGATGGACACCGGATTCATAAAAGTAGTTAATTCAGAGATGGTAATATATAAAAGAAAGATTGCAACAAGGATATAGTTCAGGAAGAAAGATATGAAGCGATTTTAATCCCATCGGTGTATACACCGACGCCATTGTGATCGATTCTGAGCCATGTCACCGAGAGTTTCCAAACATTGGTTACGATATTCACGCGGACCCCAACTAGTTTGCATCTAACAACATGGCTCAGACTAGACGTTAGTGACTTCAAGCACTGATGCCACGTTTTGATTTGCCTGCCCCTAACTTTCTTCCAACCATCTCCAACACTAGTCAGCATTACACGTCGTGGTAATCGGTGTTCAGGCATGCATAACACCTCTAACAGCACTCAAGTTTAATCAATTAGCTTTGTGTGATGTTAAATTAATTTTTATAATAATCATGATAGTTTATTCATGACTTGGTATTTACTAATATATCTTTAAAACATATATTTCACATTTTGAAAATGTTTGATTTGAGAAAAGATTGTAAAATGTGAAATTTTAGTTCATCCCTAAACTGGCGTCTATGTCAAGAATATTGATTGATTTATATAGTTATTACTAAGAGTTTGGATTATCCTGTTAATATACAGGACTAAATTATAGTCAGTTTCTGTTGTTATTTATAGATCTTGTGCGTGTAGCCTGGAAATAGTCATTTTATTACAAGTTATTTAGAATGAATGGAATGTAGGACCTGTGTTTATTGTGAGTTGAGACTAGTCAATTGGACGTACCTATATTCCAGTGTTGATATTCACATTGGATCTCGAAGCTAGTACCTCATGATTTAAACCCCAATGTGTTGTCAACTGAGTTTCTGAATGTAGATAGAAAGTAACTTGATCGAGGGAATGATGTTTCTATCAATATTAATAATGATTCTACTGGCATTTGCAATCCATTTATTCAAAATATAATTACTTATTTGAAGAGATAGAACAACTATATACACTTACCTAAATCAGTGATACTTGCAATTAGAGATAATGCCGCTGACAATTGTCTGTCCCCATGACTTAAATAAGTCATCAAATAAGCCAATCCACCAGCAGGTACAGTTGAACAAATAAATAAACCAAATGCTTGATCGATGTCTAGAACGAAAAGCAATCCAAGACCTAAAGCCATCTGAAATATGAAAGAAACAAGGAGAAACGAGACTTTATTATTAATTACTTTGTATATTTATGCAGCTACACGAAGGACTTCGAACCCAAACTATTTCATTAAATACAATCCAACTCATGTTTATCCCAATTAATCATTAAAAAGTAAGATTCACTTGTTAAGTACAGCATTGTGTACTCAGTTTTAAGCCACGCTTTTCTTACGGGACATAGTGATACTAACTGTTTACACTAAAATGAATGAAACGAGCTTCAAGTCGTCAATCCAGTTGTCGCAAGTTATGGCATCAGTCTATAAATTCATTGACTGTTGACCTGAGCATTGTTAATGAATGCTGTCTACTTGGTCTGTGTTCTCTCGATAATCACAATCAGTGGTCAGAGACGATGAATAATATAACTCAAAATGTGTCACAGTGGATTAGGTACATTCATTCTTTATCCTTATCCTAGTTCTTAAATATTTGCAAATGTGTGTCAAGTCCTTCTTATTGCAGATCGAATGCTATCGACCAATTTGCAATGTGGCCACTAGTCTAAGTGACTCGACATTGCGTGCACTATGTTTAGATTAGATAGTGGTTGGAGGTAGTCAACAGGAAATCCTGGACCCGTGTTTCGTGCTATTTGGTTCTCGTCGGCAAGGTGTACCTGTAATTAATTTAGTTATTCTGTTGCCTACTGTTTTTTTTTTCAAATTTTCGGCTATAAATAGAGTGCCTGATAATATTCAATCTGTTAGCTAGTTATTTTAACCTTTTTTTCTCTAAAATATGTTCAAATAAAGTAAGTTTTTAATAAAAGTAATAAATTAAGTTAAATCAAACTTTTAATTTATTAATTTTATTATTGTTATTATGAACCGATCAATGTTAGACCATCGTTAAGAACTTGGAAGCACTGGATGGTCGTCTCATCTTAGTATGGGACTCCTCAGCAGTGTGCATCCACGACTCCGCCTCGCGGGATTCGAACCCAGGATCTATCAGTCTCGCGCGCGAGCGCTTAACCACTAGACCATTAGGTCCTGGTTTCGAATCCCGCTAGGCGGGGTCGTGGATGCACACTGCTGAGGATTCCTATACCAGGGTGAAGCGGCCGTCCAGTGCTTCCAGGTTTTCCATGATAGTCTAGCTTCAATTGACTCATGATCTCAACTATTGAAATTACTACAATCTCCACAAAACCCCTTCTGATAATAAAAAAATAATTACTTAAAATAAAATTATCTTCATGAAAGATAGAAAAAAATCTATTCTATTCTATCAATAAGTTTTTGAGATTTATAAATTCTTGCTGGTGAGAGTTTCTTTTACTCACTATGAAGTCAAGCCCACAACTCAGGGTCTTAAGTGTATATATATTTAGCCATAATATATGACTTAGTACAAATGTGTACCAGTCACGGCGTATCGATTGATTTAAGCTTTTCGTCTTTCCTTTATTATTTGCATACTTCAATTTTTATTTCTTTATATTTATAAACCAATAGTATATTGATCATCATATACAGGGTTTAATAAAAAAAGAATATGAGTGAAAGATGATCTATGTAAAGTAGAATGAAAGCGATTAAATTGAACGGTAAGGTGGTAACTAACGGATATTGTTAAGTTTTTTTTATTATTCACTCTTCTCTAAGACATTTTGAAGATACATCAATCTAACTAAGTTTTCACTTTTTAGTTAATAAATAAACACACATACAAGTAATAAGTGAATTTCTTTAAACCAACTATTCATATGTTGTTGCTACCTTGTGTGTTTTTGATTTGTGTTCCCTCTTTTGTTTAAAAATGGATATTACCTGTTTTGAGTACTTCTTGTATTTTTCATACAAAGAGTGAATTAGCTGGCTTTTTTCTCTGTTTCTTGTTTAAATGAATAAGAATTTTGCTAACCTAGAAGTAATATTCTAAATTATTGATCTAACTAATATGTGTTACAACTGACTACACTGAAATTTTTTTTCCTCATTTAAATGTTGAATTACTAAGGTAACACTTTGGTTAATAGAAAGTAACGCTGAGATTAGGTGTTGGATATTAGGCAAATATGATAAAAGAGTTGAGATGGTGAATCTTCATCAACTAACATGGTTAGGACACGTACTATGTTTGGCTAACTGTCATGTAACTCTATATCAAGTCTTTGTTAATGTAGAAGTAATTCTGAAGAGGGCTGGGGGCGGTCAAATGAAAATGTAGTATCAGTTTATAATGTCATTAACTGTTGGCCTAAGCCTTGATTGTTAATGAAGAATACTTAGTTGGGGTGCGAAGAATAATCCAACTCTGGTTGTGAAATGGCTCAAAATCGGTCACAGTAGCGCTGATGTATTCCTTCTTTACATTCTTAATATTCATAGTTTTTTCCTCGCACTCATCCTTTCGTGTTCTTCTATGTTTATTCATTCTTTTTACCATTCATACTACTGCTATTTCTGCACCATTGCTGTTCATCTTGTTAGGTTTATCTTGGCGTGGTGATACAGTGTGGAATCGTATACTGATGCATACTTATACCAGGTTCTACGTTGATTAAGATTGACATACTTCGGTTGACATATTGAACATTAGCGTCATATTTTATGAAAAAGCTTAATGTTTTTCTCAATGAAATGAAGTGAAAAATATGACTTATTTACCAAAGAAAGGTGTATATATTCGGTTTTAAATCGCAGTGTGTGTGTATGTGACGGGGGAGGTCTTATGATGTTAACTCGTTTTTCAAGTCGAAATAGGCGGAGTGCAATTCGAACCTATTATCTAGTGATTGAAAACTAGATGATATATTTTCTAAGCCCCCATTCCATTTCTTTATTGGAAAAATGTCATTAGTGTAGACAATGCACTCTCAGCTGCTTAATTATATATTGTAAATTATCTGTGGTTTAGTATAAGGAATCGCATAATAGTCACATAGTTTCATCAAATTTCCATGTTTTTAGTCCCGTTTTAAAAAAAAAGTTATTCGTCAAATAATTAAGATTACCCAACAGGTTGTAGTAGATATTAGACGACAGTTATATAGAGTAGTTATCAGGACTGAAATTTATAAAAATGAATAACTGTCATTGCTGAGCGTACTAGTTCGTCATGGCTATTATCACTTTCTCAAGAAAAAAAGTAATGTTCATGTGACTATTAACTGATTTCATCAATTCATGCATATAGAATCAGTATGAGAAATTTGTGATGAATGTAGAATTTTCACATTTTCTAATTACGAACTGATCTTAGATAGACCATCATTAAAAACTTGGAAGCATTGAAAGGCCGTTTCGTCCTAGTATGGGATACCTCAGAACGGTGCGCATTCACAACCTCGCATCCAGGAATCGAACATAAGATCGTCGTTAGGTATTGGCTCAGCGATCTGAAGGTTAAGTGTTCGCACGAGAGACAGAAGATCTAGGGTTTGACTCCGCGATGTGGGTCGTGGGTATAAACTTCTGGTGACCCCTATACTATGAAGGAACGTTCATACAACGTTGCTATGTCTTTAATGATGGTCTAACTAAAATCAGTTCGTCATTTAGACTGAGAATATGTAAATAATGTTAGAAGTTGATTTTCATCAATAATTAATGTTGACTAAACAACCACTAATCACCATAGGGCATTAAACAATTGCTTTTCTACATCTTAGTTTAAGACCACACTAAGAAGATGAAATCCAAGACCTTGACAGTTTGTCATACAGCATAATGATTCTATAGATTAATCGCTTTAATATCGATATGGTCGAATTTCACCAATCAAATGGTTTTTCATAAAATATTTAATCCTTAAAGCTACTGATTATCAAACACATGAATAATATCAATATGGAGGATTTGTGTTGATTGTTCAATTTGAGGTTTGTTAGAAAAACTAGCAAATTATATTGCGGTAGTATTCATGGTAACCGATCTACAATGAAAAACAAGATGAATGTTTTATCTTTTTTGAAATTTGTCAACTTATTTTTAATGCATATCAGAGTTTATTCATATTCCTATTGAGATAAACCTATCGGACCAAAGCCGTTAATAAATTAGTGAATAACGTTGGTCATTTCTAGTACCCACAATAAGTTTGATCTGTCAGAATGACGTTTTTATTTATTTCCGAAACAGTAGATCACTATGTCAAAAGTAGGCTGAATGTATTCGGCTTTTAAAAAAAAGCAACAATTAACTGCAAGTTTTTATATTGATAAATACTATCCCATAAATATTGGTTATTTTGAATCGTTAGCGTTAAATGTTATGGGTACTTTGTGGTGTCATCCTGTCTTAGTTTAACTGTGATCCTTTCGTTTTCTTTCTATACAACATCGTCATCACCAGTACATATTTTAAAAAAGAAGTAAGCTATTAAGATTTTTCTACAGTTAATGACGAACTTATTCTGTCGACATGTAATTCGACTGATTATTGTCTATAGTTGGTACTACTAGTATGTCCATATATTTTTTGTTGACTGCCTTCTTCCTTGATCTGATCTTTGACTTAATTTAGAAAGTTGATGGAAATCTCACAATTAAAGCCATTTATCTTAGACTACAAAACATTGGAAATCTTCGTTCTTAGTTCCTTATCTTCTCCATCGTTTTAAAGTTACAAGTGATAAGTTTAGATGAAATACTGCAAAATACTAAAAGTCACTGTGATATATATATTTATCAAAGTAAAATTACCTGCCTTGACTAAATGAAGCTTTAATTAACTGCATTTTTAACTGAACTATATTTGTTTGTCAAATATCATTTTAGTTCAGATGTAAGGTGGTTGAAAGCAGTCGATAGATAACCCTGCTCAACCTAGGTTTCGTGTTATTTGTCACATGTTAGCAAGGTGTACTTGCTGTCTTGAAAAAAAACTGATGGTTTCTAGTGGACTCGATCCTGTTGTACCCAACTTTATAATCGACTACATCCAGCTATACCACCTTACATCTCAACAGAGCGTATGGGATTTCAATTCCCTTAAACTGATGGCCACATAGCAACTGGACTAGCACTAGGAAGGAATCAATATGACATGACATTAATCACTACTCAGTAACTAATTGTAAACTGTTCTAATTCATTTATTTGTCAATTTCAGTATTCATCCCTTATTTATTTCTACGTAATATTTTCATTTCATTTCTGTTTTGTATTTGTTGACTTAAGCCTTTGTTTCAATAAAAAGGTTATTTGAATCACCTCCAAATGGTAAGATGATGTAGACAGACTTTTTTCCTACCAAGGCTACAGTAGGTGTCACTGTACCATGGACTTTCCATCTATTTATGAATTTCAGAGGATAGCCATTTTCCATTAATGTTTTATTTATCAACTGAACATTATCATCATCATCAATGGGATGGTTTGATAAGGTGCCTATTCAGCAGGCTTGATCGTATTTGTACAAATGACGCCATTGATAATGATATTAAGTTACTAAATAAAACATTAATGGATAATGGCTATCCTTTGGATTTCATAATTAGATTGAAAGTTCATAGTACAGTAAGATCTACGGTAGCCTTGGTAGAAAAAAAAAGCTTGTCTACATCATCTTACCATTCAGGGGTGATTCAAATAGTTTTTTGTATTTGTTTAAGTACCTCCCCCCACCCTCCACACTAACATATATATTCATAATTCCACTTATTTCTAATTTGATTACTGTACTATTTAGAAAATAAATGAAAGTTAACTTTACTTTTATATCTATATAGTACAATATTAAAAGTTCATTTATATGTGTTATCTGTCAAATGTGTCATTTTATTTTTTTATTTTTTTTATTTTTCAACCGAGTTTCTGTCAAGACTTCAATTTTTTTTATTTCTTTCCTTCCTTTCTTATTGATTAATTAAATTATTTCTATCTATATGTAGTATACATGGTTTTGTGCATATACAATATGGATACAAAAATTTTTGTTGTTGTTGTTGTTATCGCAACAAAATCTTATAAAATTTAACTAATCAAATAATTTCTGATCGTCTATTCATATGGTTATTTTACATTTTATAACAAATAATTTATTTAAATCATGAATCAGTTGAAGCTAGACCACCATTGAAAACCTGGAAGCACTGGACGGCCGTTTCATCCTAGTATAGAACTCCTCAGCGATGCGCATCCACGATCCCGCACCACGCGGGGCTCGAACCCAGGACCTACTGGCTTCGCGCGCGAGCACTTAACCATTAGACCACTGAGCCGGCATCCAACGGTTCGAGCCCTGCGTGGTGCGGGATCGTGGATGCGCACTGAGGAGTCCCATACTAGGACGAAATGGCCGTCCAGTGTTTCCAGGTTTTCAATGGTGGTCTAGCTTCAACTGACTCATGATTTAAATCTGTGAAAATTTCTAAAATCTCCACAAACCCCTTCTGAAAATAATTTATAATCAAAATAGGTTTTATGGAGATTTTTAGAAATTTCACAGGTTAAAATCATGAGTCAATTGAAGCTAGACCATCATGGTAAACCTGGAAACACTGGATGACCGTTTCGTTCTAGTATGGGACTCCTCAGCAGTGGTCTAGCTTCAATTGACTCATGATTTTAACCTGTGAAATAATTTATTGATTCATTATTAAGATTTATGCTTAGAATAGAATGAATGTCTTGAATTTAAAATCTCTGTACTAATAGGTTTAAGTATTTTTTTTATTATCTTTCAACATTGAATATTTACTTCAAATCAACTCCATATTAGATGAACTATATAAATGATAGGGATAAGTAGTTTATATAATCAACTTTCAAAGATTATATTGCAGTTTCATTAACCTTCAATTTTGAACACCGATTACCACAATGTGCAATGCTGACTAGTGTTGGAGATGGTTGGAAGAAAGTTAGGGGCGGCCAAATCAAAACGTGGCATCAGTTCACAAAGTCACTAACGTCTAGTCTGAGCCATGTTGTTAGATGCAGACTACTTGGTTGGGGTCCGCGTGACTATCGTAACTAATGTTTGGAAACTCTCGGTGACATGGCTCAGAATCGATCACAATGCCGTCGGTGTATACACGCTCTGTCTTCCCTTAAACTAAGAGATTAAAATCGCTTCATATCTTTCTTTCTACGAGCTAATTCTTTCTTCCTGAACTATATCCTTATTGCAATCTTTCTTTTATATATTACCACCTCTGAATTAACTACTTTTATGAATCCGGTGTCCATCTTGTTGTGCTAATGAGGTATGACAACTTGGAAAAACCTCAATTTATTGATTCTAGTTCAACGTCACTCAATAATTCTACTTAATTTTCGATAATAAAATGTATGGCTTCAAGATGAGCATATTATATGTGTACTTAGTGACGACTAAATTACGTTAAGTTAAAATGAACGAAAGAATACTTCTAGTATTTATCAACACCTCACCATTATTGGATCATTAAATGTGTCGATAAAATATCGTGACTAAATACTAAATCAGCACATTACTTGTAACGTTTGTTTTCTAGTTAGTTTGAATATTTTTCAAGTTAATGTTGAGTTTTTTCTTTCATTCTTGAGCTGTTAACAACTTTAATAACTGAAAGTTGTATGTTTCTTTTGTTTATGTTGCAATAAGTATTGACTGGATTGAATGGTGATATAGAATTGAGGCGGAATAATTCTTCAGTTTATATTCTCGAATTCGTTCTCTTTTTTGGTATTGATTTGTTGAGTAAATTTAACTTAAAGATTATCCTTCATAATAGAAGATAAATATCGGGATAAGTCTTCGTTACAGTATTTCTTTTATATTTCTAGTACAGATGTATTAGTTTATAACGAAATTAGTACTTAAAATTACTATCAGAAGGGGTTTTGTGGAGATTTTAGTAATTTAAATAGTTGAACTCACCGTTGGATGCTGGCTCATTGGTCTAATGGTTAAGCGCTCGGGCATGAGACTGATAGGTCCTGGGTTTGAATCTCGCGGGGGGTGGGTGGCGGGATCGTGGATGTGCACTGCTGAGGAGTCCCATACTAAGACGAAACGACCATCTAGTGCCTCCAGGTTTTTCATGGTGGTCTAGCTTCAATTGACTCATGATTTCAACTTAAAATTACATCAATTTTTTATGATTTCAAGCAATTGAAACGTTCATGGACAAAAAGTTGTTCTCTGTTTACTGATAATTGTCTGCCGGTTATGTTTGTAAACTCATCCTATTTTTACGAAATCTTAAGTCATCTGTCATTTTAGTAGCCAGAATAACGAACTGTTTACTATTAATGCTTTAAATAAATCTATATTGAAAAACTCTAATGGGATTTTGAATAGTAATAAGTGAGGAGTGCATTTTAGTACAGAATAAAATCTGTTATTCAGTAAAATGATTTGGATCTGGAAGCTTTGTAGCTTAGAGGGAAAGCAACTCCAAGATATGATGAATTAAATTTCATGGTTACAGTTGACGGTCGATAAATTTTAGAAGCCGCTAAGGAACACCATTTGTTTACACTTAGTGACTGAAAATATAGTTTAACTAGACATTTTGTTTATTTTTGAATGGGGTCGAGAAATACGATTAAATATATCTGGACATCCATAAAATACACAGTCCAACTCATTAACGGAATAGAAATTTATGTTCTCTGCTTTGAGTTATGCATTTTTTGTCAGGTTTATTAATACTATCCAGCTTCTTAGACTGAAGTAAGTGAATGGGAGTTCGAACTTACAACTGATGCATTTGGCTTTTCTGGGGGATCACTGCCTCAGCCATTCACCCAGAGGTCTTATCTATAAAGCGATGCAGCATTGTTGGGAGATACTGTTCTATGTTACCTGGTAATGTCATCCGTTCCTACCGCTTTGAAACCAAAGTTATTTAACTCCCTTGGGTTGAACATCTGTATACATAAACACAATTTCGTCGCCGAAATTCTACCTTTTGTGCTCTCAATTTTGTAAAAAAAAACACGACGTGTGAATCCAGTTAGTGAACATTTTGAGAGTGAGAGCGAACTTCCTCTACTCTCGATTGTACTAGTTTAATTTGGAAATGTATATAAAAGTGATCCCCGAATCACATCAGTAGGGGAAAAAAGCCAGTAACTCAATTTATGTTATCCTTACTTTGCTAGCTAAAAATGTTTACTATCAAATATAACTTATATGATTCGTTCACACACACACACACACACAGAGAGAGATTGGCATCACCTACCATTGGTATTATAATCAGTTGACAAAATAAACCGGTCAATATAGCTTTTGGTTCATTTAATTGTTCTCTAATCATAATTGGATCATTACAACAACCGACAGATAATGCAAGCATAAAAGCAATTATTGCTGAACTCCAATCAGATACAATATAAAATTTCTGTGGTCTTAATAATACTGTTAACCATAAATAATTTTTCCATACACCATGACTTTTGTTATCCTGTATTAAACTATTATTGTTACTATTCAATTCTTCTATTAATTTGTTATAATAATTCACTTGTTGTTTTGGTACATAAATTTTGGCTTCAGTAATTTTAATTTGTGTTTGATCTTGTATTGTAACAGTATATCCTTTATTATTATTTAATTGATATAATGCTTCTTCTTGTAATTGTATTTGATGTTGTTTCATACTTTTTGGACTAGTGATTGTTGTTGTCACTGTTGTTGTTGTTGTTGTCGTCTCTGTTGAATGATTCTGTTGATGATAATGTTCATCAATGATATTTAATGAATCAGTTAATTTTGTCAATGATTCAATATGTTTTCTTGATGTACTATTCAACCAAATTAATGAAGTAGTAATTTGACTATGACCTAAATTCTCTGCATGTATATAAAATCCATTAGTTGTATTACATTTTATCTCTAAATATAAAGTAATACATAGAGAATTATTATGATTATTATAAGTAGTACTATCAGTAGTATTTTCACAATGATATAAATGAATATTAGAATGTATTCTCTTAGATAGTGATAAAGCAATCACATAACCATTGGAGGATGTAATTTTATACATTAAAGTTGTTGCCGTCTTATTATTATTATTATCATCATCTATTGACGATTGATTAATCACTACTGTTTGACTAATAGATTGAGCTAATTGTGTTTTAATAATCTGTTTCCATTGTTCATTATATTTACAACAACATGTACATGTTAATTCAATCCATTGATATGCACCTACACTTAATATCGGTGATTGAGAAGAATGTTTAAATATAGTATCTTCTTTATGTTGAATATCTGGTTTCAAACCTAATTCAATATGATAATCCACTGTACAATTAAGTGGTCTAAATAGATCTGATGATATGGTGGTGGTGGTGTTCATAATTGGTTGTTGTTGTTGTTGATGATGATGTAATGATGTATTACAATTTGAAATAATACAATAATAGAATATAATCATATAAAAAAAAGATGAATTAACTTTCATTGGATTAATCACCATGATCATCATAATATAAACTTTGATATTGAGTAAATTATGTTAAAATATTAAAGTAGCCCAAGTAACAGGACCATAAGTAATGAGAATACTTTGTAAGTGAAGTGAATATTCTACTTTATAGTCGATATATACATATAATAGTGCATATATTCAATTTATATATCATTAGATTTCTTGTATTCTAAAGAAATAGGTTGAAGAGGGATAGATTAGACAATACATATCCAATAATCATTATAATAGTAGTATATTTCCCATGGTTTTGTATGGTTATCTGTTAATAAATATTTACAGTTTAATACTTGGGCTATTAATTCTAACTCTTATTACATTCTATGTAGATAAACGATTGTGTACATTATCAACAGTTTATATATAGATATGTTTATTTTAATATGTAAAATTTGTAAGTTCCATTCGAACAAGTAGGATCATCGGTATGTTTTACTATCATGGAAACATGTTGTTCTTTTAGAAGTATGAATGAAATAAAATCCATTTAAATGAGTTGTGAAATGTTGACACTAGTTGTAGAGTGGAATTTGCCAATCAAATATTAAATTTGTTTGGTAGTATTCCTTCCGTAATCACTGTAGTGATCCATTATCATATACATCATATTCCACCATCAGCCAATAAGCTTGTTATTTGCATTTTTGTGTACCCTTCAAAAAATAGATTTGATAGGTTCATCATTGTATGTCCAACTGGACAATGGTGGATAATTTTGTTTGTTGTTAAGAGAAATATCAAGAATACAGACACATACATATATACCTATACCTATCTATGCTTATTTATGCACAATTTAGATCATGTTTTTAAAATGGTTATAATGATCCCATCGATCTAGAATGCATATATCCTTGAAAAAGTGGTGACTATAGAGTTAGTGTGAATCTGCTAAGTTTTTTGTAGCAACGTTTAGTCCTACTCAAATAGTGAATAAGTAATCAAAAGCTATGTTACTCAGTGAAGTAACATTTGTGCTTGATAAAATAGCATTTTGTTGATGATGTATCCAAACTCAGGATGAAACTCCTTGTTTGTTATCAAGATACCATCAAAATCAAAGTGTTTATGTACATGTCTTAAATATAAACCAGGGTCCTGGTTTCGAGTCTCGGTCGGAAGTCGTGAACACACTGCTGAAAAGTCCCATAATAAGGCGAAACGACTGTCCAGTGCTTTCAGGCTTTCATTGGTTGTTTAACTCAGATCGGTTCATGATTTCGGTGAAATCTGACATTCTCGAAAACCCTATACTGACAATACAAACTAATGTTCGGTGTGCTTGGTGTGCTTGATCTGCGCTATTCAATAATAAACTGTAGTCGGCGCTTCGTGTTGCCTTCTGGTTTCATACATCGTTAGGATTGATTTAATAACGATTATCGGGGTGATTGATATACGAGGAATTATCTCAAAGCCAAGGTACTACAGACTAACTGGTCAATAATAGTGATTAAAACAGTTTTAAATTCACGATGAAAGCTATAATCATATCTAAATAATGTATATTCTAATCAGTGGTAAGGAGCGGAAGTCACGGCTTAGGTTGATCGATATAATTCGATTGGAAACTACTGAGTAGTCAGTTAATGCATTTATTAACCTTCAGTCGTATGCAGATCACATATGTGAGGTAATCAATTTTTATCAACTGAGGTTTCTGGGATATTACTGCATATGGCTAATCACCATCTAAGTTGATGGGCGATGTTTCCTGATATGGAAGTAGGTTGGAAGAAAGCTAGGGTGCGGCCAAATAAAAACACAGCGTTAGTCATTGTCCATTAAACTGAACCATACGAACCAGTGCAAAATACCTGGTTAGAGTTCATGCAATAGTCGTAACCAGCGATCAGTGACTATGGATGACATAGCTCAAGAGTGGTTGGAATTGTTTATTCACTCTTTGACTATACTCTGATCCTAAGCTCGTAAATTATTTTATAGCTTTTTCTATTTCACGGACTCATTGTCTCGAATTACAAGATTAATGCTTAACATTTTTTAGTACTACTATAACTTACTATTTCTACTATTTTGTGGTAATATACTATGGCGACTTGAACCAATGCACATATATGCCCGGTTATACGTTATGAATGTCTAGTTGATTGACTATGTCTTATTCATTATTATTAAATACATTTTATAACCTGTTTTGCTGTATCAGATTATTTATCGTTGTAAAATTCACTTAAAATATAACCCCTGATTAATATTTCTTCTTGTAGTAATGCGACTTAATCGTCCAACATTTGTTATACAACGTTGTGAACCAACTGAACTTTATCTGGATGATATAGCAGGATGTTTAACAGCATCTGACGCAGGTATTCGTGGAGACCTTGATGGTATTGCGTTAAATCTTTTATCTGCTGGTAATATACCTCACTCTTCAAATTCTCATGAATCTCCTAACTATGATCATAAATTAAATAATGACAGTAAAGATAATTATAATTATATACAACCAAAAGTTGGTGGATATAGTGAACTGCTAAGTTTAAATCATTCATTTGGGTAAGTATAAAATTTCAAAAGGTAAACTAACAATACTTTTCAAAGTTTGCAATACTAAGTGACTATCCATTAATAGTAAGAAAAAAATTACTTTTTATTATTTTCTAACTTATCAGTTTAGGAGTCAACGTTTCCAGTTGAAACTTTAAGATATTCTCATAGTTTGTACATTTACTACAAATGACTGTAAAATCTGTTTAAAATTGCATGACCTTGAGTGCCTTCTCTTCCATTTTGAATCCCACATAGCACAACACACTGATAACCGCTAGCAAATACACTGCCACAAATACACATCTCTTGTTCTCAGTTGCCTGTTGTTACGATAACTGAACTCTAAAATACTTGTTATCTACATTTATTGACCACAGTCATAAATCCATTAAATATCCCATCTGGCTATACTGCTGGAATTATAACAACCTTTATTGGAATTATCACCCATAATTGTGGATTATTATGCCGAATGCAGCTCGAACACGCCAAGGTCTGCCAATTTAAGTAACGTCTTGTAACTTTTCTTAGTGTTTATAAATTATATTTAATATATTAAAACATTAATTTTTGGACGTAATAACTTTACTATCATTTTTGAGTTAATATAATTTTTGGTCCACCACAATTATCTGGTGAGGCCAACGTTTATTCTGTTTGTTATATTGTTTATTTTATCTGACTCGCTAGTTTATTTTTTATATAATGTACTCTTCTAATAACCTTAGTGACATTGAAGGTCCCCTATAAACGCTCCTACTTCATTACCCAACTGGTCTGACCCCATTTTAAGCGCAGTTAATGCTATATTTGAATTCAGATTTCCAGCATACGGAGTTAATAATTTAAGAGTTTGGTTCGCACAAGTAGAAGCCTTAGTCATATCTCAAGGAATTCGTTCTCTGGCAACAAAATATGCACACGTAGATAAATGTAGATAACAAGTATTTTAGAGTTCAGTTATCGTAACAACAGGCAACTGAGAACAAGAGATGTGTATTTGTGGCAGTGTATTTGCTAGCGGTTATCAGTGTGTCGTGCTATGTTGGATTCAAAATGGAAGAGAAGGTACTCAAGGTCATGCAATTTTAAACAACTTTTACAGTCATTTGTAGCAAATGTACCAACTATGAGGATTTCTTAAAGTTTCAACTGGAAACGTTGATTCCTAAATTAATTAATTGGCCCATAATACCTTTTTGCACTAGATTTATTCATCAGTTTGGCCACAGAGCATTTTTACATTATAGTTGATGTTAGTTTATTACGAAAACCCTAACTTCAAAGCCCCTATTACAATGATAAATATCTAACTCTATCTGAGAACAATATGACATAGATGAAAAATCTATTTGGTTCTTTTTAAGAGTTTAGGAAAACGAATAATCTATCGTCATAAGGATTAGTTTCTATATCATCTTTTTTTCTTCTTCTCAATTTACTGACAGATTAATCTCTCTACACTTTGTTCCCTTTCCCCCCCCTCTCGTAAACTACTCATTTACAAAGATTTTTCTGAATGGTTAAAAAACTAATTAAAAATGAATTGCCCTTATTTTAAGTTCATCTCACCAGAGATACAAATGATAATGATAATTAAGTGAGAAACAAAAAAATCTATCATCCATATCTTATCTCTTTTTATTTATTTTATAGTACTATTTATTTGGGTGAAACATTCTCGGCACATATAAATTTACATAATGAAAGTAATCAAATTTGTTACAATGTTGAATTAAAAGTAAGTATGGGGATTTGTGAAGATTATAGTATTTTCATAGTTGAATTCATATGTCGATCTAAGCTAGATTACCATTGAAAACTTGGAAGCATTAGATAGTTGTTTTGTCTTATTTTATTTATTTATTTGAACATATAAATATTGGTACAAGGGGGCACTAAATATATATGCGCCACACAAAACAATGAGAATAAGAAGAGAAGAAGAAGAAGGTAAGGGGCGTTAAAGAAAAAAAGGAGAATAACGACCAGATTAGTGTAAGGTAGTGTAATAATAATAATAATGGGGGGGGGACGGAAATGTACAAACAGAAGGAATCTTTCAGTTAAGGGAGACACAACCACTTTTATGAAGAAAGTAAAAGGTTACAGCAGGATCACCACTGGCTTCTATTCTGAGCCATATCTGATAACGTCTTTAGCCACTGTGTCGCACCATCTCTCAGATCCCAGCCAGGGAGTAGTGAAGGACCAACAGAAGTCAGCCCTTTACAGCTTTCTTTCATACCACGACACCATGTCATAGACTGACCACCTCTCCGTTCTTTCCAACCAGTCCCAGAGTCGGCAAATAATGCACGATGTGGAATTCCCTGGGACGACATTCGGAGAACATGTCCAAGCCACCGAAGTCGGTGTTTCAAGGTGGTGACGCTAATTGGATTATCGTCTCTGCGCCCGAACACATGACGTCGAACCTCTGCATTACTGACATGGTGCTGCCACTGGATGTCAGCAATCCTTCGGAGACAACGATGATCAAACACAGAGAGTCGTCTAACATCCTCGGAAAGGCCAGTTTTCACAAGCATAGGGCAGAACTACACTCACCGACGCGTTGTAGATCCGACCTTTTACAGCCAGACTGACATGACGAAGGTGCCAAAAATAGCCCAGATCGGAATAAGCCGCTTTGGCTTACACTATACATGTATCTCATCACTCACGCCAACACCAGCACTTATGCAGCTACCTAAATACACGAAATTCTCGACTACTTCTATCTGCTCACCATCCAGGGTGAGTACAGGATTAGAATCCTGCCAGTCTTGTAGAAGTACTTTGCACTTCGAAGGTGCAAAGCACATACCATACCTACATACACTGATTGCAAACTGATTAAGTGCGGAAAGCATGTCTCGGGCATTATCGCACAGTAAGACAATATCATCCGCATACTTAAGGTCGAGGAGTCTTTCTCCAGGCAACAGATCCACACCACCATTACTTACATCCATCAGAGCTGTTTCCAGAATGTCATCGATGGCAAAGTTGAAGAGTAATG